CCTCTTCTGCCCCCTCCCAGGCCGACGCCCTTGCCCGGGTGATGCATTCGCACCGGGCGTGCCCGGGCCCGCTCGCTGGCGTGTGGCTGGACCCCATCGGTCGAGGGGGCGCCCGCAGGGGATGGCTGACATCGGCGGGGGGGGGGGGGACGTCATCCTTGCAGCACATAGCGCCGTATGATCGGCGCATGCGCGCGGCCCGGGCGCCAGGCCGCCGCCCCGTCCTCCGCATGCCAGCCAGGCGTGGGGCACGGCCAGGCGGATGGTTCTCCCGGCCGGCGCCTGGCGTTGGTCCCGGCCGGGCCCCGGCGGCCCATGCCATGGTGCGAGTATCGGCGGTGCCTGCGGCGACGGCGCTGTCCACGCGCCGGCGGCAGGGCTTCTCGGCGTTCTGCCCCTCGCCCCGCCTGTCGGCGCGTGGGTGCACTTCCGGCCGCAGGGGGGCCTTTTGTGCGGGCGCCCGTCGGGCGCACCGCGCACCGGCACCGGAGGGCCCCGGCGGCGGGGGCCGGAGCTCGCACGCACGCACGCCGGCCGCGGTGCCACCCCATACAGGTTCCCCCCCCCCCCCCCCGCATCCGGAGCATCCCGCCCGGCGGCCACCCACGCATGGATCCCAGGTCGCCCGGGCGCAGGGGCGCCCGTCCGAAACATGCCCCCGGCCCCGCGGATCGCTCACCGTACATGGGCGGCGCACAACACCCCCCCCCCCATCCGCGTGCGCCCCGCTGCCCCGGCCGGATGGGACGCAGGGGGCCCCCTGGCCGGGCGCGAGGGCGCGACCCCCCCCCCCCGGGGCTTGCCGGCGGGTGGTTCCATAACCGACTGCCAACTCTTCGGCCCGGGGCCCGAACGAAGCCCGGCCCCCGCGTGGCCGGCGAGCCTTTTCACACATTATGTCCCATGTCGGTGGCCATATTGCGGCGGAGGCTTGCGGGGGGTCCGCACGGCTTCCGCGTGCCGAGGGGCCCCCTCTCGCACCCGCCGGCGGGGGGCGGCCGGCCTCCGGGAAAAGCGAGCGATATCCGCAGGCCTTTCCTTCGCAAGCCCCCCCCCCGGCGGTCCCCAGGTCACCCGGGCCCGGGGGCGCGCGGCGCCTTGCCGGCAGTCGCCACGGGCGGGGCCGGCCGACGCTGCCCGGAGCCGGGCCGGGGGCTGGCCGCCACCACCGCCACCACCCCCGCGCGCGGGGCCCCCCTGGCCCTGGGGGGCTCGCTTTCTCGCTCGGCCGGCCGGCCGGCTCCCGGGCGGGGGAAATCGCCGGCCCAAGATTCCGGCCACCTCCCGGCCCCGATCCGGGGCCGATGCCACCCGCGGTCCAATGACCGGACCCACCAGCATGGCGAGACGCCGGCGAAGGTCCCCGCCAAGGCGCGTCCTGGCTCCCGGGCCGGGCCCCGTCGGCCACCCCCGTCGGCTGGGCCGTCCCCGGGGCCGGGAAAAAATCCCCGGGCTTCTCCCCACGCCCCTGACCCGGGCCTGCCTCGGCGCCGGCCCGGGTGGGTCCCCCCGTGCGAGCAGCCGGGGCTATATGGCCACGTAGCCCGGCCGGGGAAGGGGCCGGGACCGGGCCAATCTCCCCTGGCATCGCCCCCCCCCTCCCCCCCCCCCCCCCCCCCCCCCCCCCCCCCCCCCCCCCCCTCACCGCCTCGCGCCCGCTCCTTCCATCGGCCCCTCTCCCGGGCTGACCGCCGCTGTGTCCACGCACCGCGCCATGGGCCGGACGCGGGGCGCGCCTCCGGCGCCGGGCGCCGGCCTGACGACGGTCCTGCTTCTTGTGGCGCTCTTGCTGGCCCTCGCCGAGGGGGTTCGCTCGCAGGCGGACCTCTTCCTCCATGCGGGGCTGCTAAACGCCAGTACCATGGACCGGGCCGTGGCCTTCGTCACGCAGCCCGGGCAAATGTCCCTGGCTCTCACCCAGCCCAGCTCCTCGATGCTGGAAATCATTCGCTCGGCCGACAGCACGGCCGTCGTGGAGGAGCTCCGCTGGGGCCCCTACTTCGAGGCATACCAAGTCGACATGCTGGTCCGGCCACGGGACCCCCTTTCGGCCCCCTTCTCGCTGATGGTCCTCCCGGCCCCCGGCATCAGCACGCCGCTGGTGGTCGAATACAACACGGCCCAGGTGGCCATGATGGAGTCGACCCAATTCTTCGCCTGGCCGGCCCCCCTGACCAAGGTGCTGGCCGGCCAAGCGGCCGGCATCAACACTGCCAGCCTGCTGCTGCTGGCCACCCCCGACCCGCTCCTGCCGCGCAACCTGCTGGAGATGCATCTGCCGCGATCCGGGATGTCGAGCTTTTTGTCGGTGTTCCAGGTGCCGCGAGACGCGGACCCGGTGCTGGCCGTCCCCGGCAAGCCGGCCTCCTACTATGTCTACTTCGACGGGAACATCCACCATGTGCCGCTGCCGGTCCAGTCTCCCGGTTCCTCGGTGTCCCTCCCGCTGGGGGAGGATGTCCGAGGCCTGGTCGTGTCCTTCCTCGTGAGCGATATTTCCAACTGCCCGGGCGGCGACCTGGTGTTGTTGTTTTCCGACGGCCGGGTCGAAGTCCGGCCGTGCTTCGACTTCCCGGCCGGCTCGCAGCAGGCAACCCTCACGGGGTTCCTCCCGCCGGAGGCCGGCGTCCCCGGGCGCTTCCTCAATCCCGACATCCACTCCAACACCAGCCCCCTGTTTCTCCTCTACTATGTGGCCCCCTTGGCCGGGCCCAGCCTCAGCATGGGGCTCTGGCAGGCGGACGTACGGCAGTCGTCCTTCTCCTGGCGCCGGGTGCACTTGCCATCGCGCGGCACCAGCGCCCTGGCAACGGCCAGCCTCGTTCGCCTGGCCGCGCCCAGGGGCCTCACCAAGTGGCTGCTCCAGTCGGATGGCGTGGTGCACTTCGACTCGGTGGACTTCCACTGCGCCCAGGACCCGACCATTGTCTGCGACTCGGCCAGCACCATCGAAAGGTCCCCCCTGGGGTGGATATGTGCCCCGGACCGGGCCATGTCGCCCTTCAGCGCGGCCGGCCGCCTGTGCGACGGCTGTGTCGATGGCTTCTACCTCGATCGAAATTCCCGTGCGTCGGTATGCTCGCCTGCCTGGTGCCGCTGGCGCCGCTGGTGCCGCTGGTTTTGTTACTGCCACCGCCGCCACCGCCGCCACCGCCGCCACCGGCCTCCTCTCTATCTAACCCGAGTTTGCCCGGACCACGCGTCACCCTGGCTGCTGTGGGTGCGGCTCGCCAGCCGGCCGGCCCTGTCAGCCCTGCATCGATAACTGCCGCACATGCGACGGCCCGGATCGCTGTCTCCTCTGCGATGGCCCGTTGGTGTTGGCCCCCTCCGGCATGGCCTGCCTGCCAGACTGCCCGTCGGGTTTCGCCTCGGTCGCCGGGACCTGTCAGCCGGATCCCCAGTCGCGGCCCCAGGCGGATACGCTGCTGACCGAGGCGGCTCCCGAAGAACTGGGCCCGGTGCCGGCTGCCAATCGATTTCTCCTGGCCCTGGCCGACACGCACCTGGTGGTCAGCCCGGCCGACGGGACGACCTACATCCCGGCCGAGGCGGTGCTCAATCCCGGAGCCCGGCGCTCCGGGGTGCTGCTCTTCTTCCAGGCTGGCCAGCCGCTGTTGACAACCTCCGCCAGCATTGGCCCCTCGTCCTCGGAGAAGCCGGCCCCGGTGGCCATCCCGCCGCTGGGCCTGGACTCCCTGTCGAATGTCGAGGCCTTCATGGAGGTGGGCCCCCTGGTGCGGGGCACGGAGGCCGAGTTGAACTTCGTCTTCTGCCCGCGCTCGCAAAATGTCCAAGTCGGCAAGCTCACCTGCGTGGTGGACCCCGGCTCGGAGAATGCCGTCTGCTCGCCGGGGCACTTTTCCCACAACATGATTTCGGTCTATGGGTGTCGGGATTTGCGGCGCGTCGATGATCGTCGCATTTTGATCTTCTCCTCGACCAATTTCATGTCGCTGGTGGTCTTCGACCCGTACAGCAGCGTGCGCATCCACTCCTTCGACGGGATGGACGCGGTGTTCCTGCCGCCGGAGCCCGGCCGGTGGGAGGCCGTCGTGTCGCCCATTCGCGATTGGATTCTCACCATCGGCCTGACGCAGTACCCGTCGGTCACGCCGCTGGACCTGCTGACCGGCGACTCGCGCCAGGCCGTCACCCAGACTCAACTGCTGGATGTGCCCCACTCGTGGCAGGGGGTGAACTTCCTGCGCACCGCCGGGCCGGGCCGGCGCCAGCGCGAGGTGGTCCTCTCCCGGGTCAATGGCCTCCAGTGGGAGGTTGCCCTGCTCCGGGGGGATGTCCTGCCGTCCGGGCGGACGGTGGCCCTGGCACATCGGATCCAGCAGCTGGGCCGGCTGCCGGAGCCGGTGTCCTCCGGCATGCTGCGCTTTGTGGCCTTGGATGTGGACTGGCTCCCCGGCCGGCCGGGGGCCCTGTTCATGTTCACCGACCAGGTTGTCGGCCTGGCCATCCTCCACTGCCCGGAGGGTGGCGGCTCACCACCCGGGCCCGGGGCTTGCCTCCTGCAGCACCTGTCGATAACCCTCCTGCCGAGGGATTTCCACACCAGCGGCCAGCCGGCCTTCTCCGGGCCGGTGATCCTCCGGCCGGAGCCCGGCCACCAGGCGACCCTTGCCCAGGGCGCGGCCCCCTCCCCCGGGCATGTGCTCACGCTGATGGCCTTTTCCCCGGTGGCCGGGCCCACGCGCCTGGCCTTCGAGGCTGCCTGCCCGGACCCCGCCTCCTTCGGGCTGGACTGCCTGGCATGCGACCCGCTGTGCCGGACATGCGCCGGCCCGGGTGCCGGGGACTGCCTGTCCTGCATGCATGCCCTGCCCGAGGCGCCGGGCACCTGCCTGCCAGGCTGCCCGGCTGGTCGGCAGCCCACCTCGAGTGGGCTGTGCGGCTGCGGCTTCGGCTGCGTCGGGTGCAATGTGCTGCCCGGCGAGCCGGCCAGGTGCATGGCCTGCCAGCCGGGGCATGCTCCCTCCACCAGCCCCGGCTTCGCCGAGTCCTGCTCTCTTTGTGATGACTCCTGCGCCGAGTGCACGCTTCCCATGGAGCCCGGTGCTTGCACCAAGTGCCATCCACTGGCGTGGCTCTTTGGGGGGGCTTGCGTGGGGGCCTGCCCGTCGGGCTTCTGGCCGGACAGCGCCTCCGGCAGCTGTCTCCCCTGTGCCGCCGGCTGCGCCGCGTGCACCAGCGCATCCGCCTGCACGCGGTGCGCCGACCGGCACTTCCTCGCTGCCGGGGTCTGCCACGTGTGTGACGGGTCGTGCGCTTCGTGCGCCAGCGCCACCGACTGCACCGTCTGCCGGCCGGGACTGGTCTTCCTGGGGACCGATGCCGGGCAGGCCTCCCTGTGCGGGAGCACCTGTGCGGCGGGCGAGTTCGCCGGGCCCGGCCGGTGCGCCGTGTGCGACGCCTCCTGCGC